CAACGTAAGAAACCTAAAAATCAGGATAATAGAAAACCTAGTCAACCTAAGGACACTAGACAACCTAGACTAAAACCTAGGAATGAAAATGTTCATGGTAGACAACCTAAGAAAAATAATTTTGTGCATAATAATAATCTTTCTCAAAATAGGAGAAATAACATGAGGACACCTAGAAATGATTCTTTTGAAAACGTGCATAAACCACCCTTTTCTCAAAATAGGATGAATATGGTTAGACCCCCTAGCTATTATCAACCTAGGCATATGTTCAACCCAAACGTAGTATGCCATTATTGCAATAGGGTAGGACATATAGCTCCCGTGTGTTTTACTAGACATAGGCATCTCACCTGTAATGAAACACACAACATATTTGGTGCTAACGAAAAGAAATCCTTTAGAAAAGGATATTCGTATCATAAACAATCTCCACAGGATAATGCACAAAAGAAACCGTATTATTTCTTCTACTTTGACGAAAAGAAGAAAGTCCACATTCCGTTACCGGAACCAACACAAATCACACCGCGATATCGGCACTCCGTTCAGGTAGACTGGAACCCGCCAACCACTAGACATTGGGTTGGCCAAGGTAACTCCTAAACAATCATTTAATTGTGTGTGTGTGTGTGTGTGAATTTTGGGTGTGTGTGGGCAATAAAGGTCAACTAACCCCCAAGGACCCATAGACATACTTTGGGTACCAAAGTGTTACTTTTTTGCAGGGACGATTCAAAGTGAAGAATTCTGGAAATCAGGGGGAACCAGCGATGGGTGGGCAATACCATCGCTGGGAGGGAAGTTTTCTTTTTTTCAGAACCCCTCTTCCCATCGATGGGTGCTTCTTCCCATCGATGGGTAATTGACTCTATTTTTTAAGAAATACTTAACGGATTTCCAGAACACCCTAACCCATCGATGAGTATTTTATCCCATCGCTGGGTGAAGAACTCTTTTCGGACATCTTTTCGCTGGGTGTCTGACACTATTTTTTTAAGCGTCTTCTCGGATTTCCAGTAGCCACCTTCCCATCGATGGGTGAGTTCTACCATCGTTGGGAAGGCAGCATTGTTTTCTACTCACTTTCTAAACGCTTCAACAATGGCCAGAGGAAGGTCAAGGACCAAAACCGAGGCTTCAAAGAAGAAGGCCAACACCGATGCCACGACATCTTCTTTATTTTCTCCTTATTAAATATGATTGTATTTTTATCCGTTGTATTCTGCATTTCCCTTTTAATAAATAAAAGTTTACTTTTAATTCTTTTTGTTAATGTCAAAAGGGGGAAGATATAAAGGTTATGCATAGATTGAGGGGGAACTTTTCCTAAAACTAACTCTTATTCAACACATAAACTTTGTTGAAAAGAAAATTGCATTTATTAAGGGGGAACATTTTTTAAGTCTCAAATCAATCCTCCTATGCATAACCCCGTCTTGTTTGCCATTATCAAAAAGGGGGAAATTGTTGAAACATGGGTTTATCGTGTTTTCGTACTAAAGCCGTGTTCGTGTTTATGACAGGTTTTGATAATGCCAAACCGCCGTGAACGAGACAAGTTGTTGAATATACAAGGCGAGAAATAAACATAAGAAGAAAGCAAGAGAACAAGACCCAAAAGAAGACCGTAGTCTTAGTGTTGTTGAGTCGGTCATAATTGTGATCAAGACCGACCCAACCTTTACACCTTGGCTCTTTAGGCTAAAATTCTTTTCATTGCATTTCACACATCATAAAAATGTTTTTCAAACATGTTTAAAACATTAAAAACACTTGGTGTTCGCCCAAACCAAAAACCAAGCCATCCAGCGTTCGGGTTTCAGAAACCGGCGTTCGGCTCTCGGTTATCGGCTATGGTTTTTGGCGTCCGAACCAACCGAGTGGTTTTCAACTTTTTATGATTTTTTTTCACTCCTTGGCATGTTTAAACGGTTCTCCAACAAAAACACCTTGAAAACCATCTTTCGCTTTTGGTCGTTTGACAAAAATCATTCAAAAACGGCGTTAACTTGGCTAGCCGTGTTTTTCACTCAAATGACGTGGTTTTTAAAGTGTCTCACTTGATTTCTTAGCCAAATACATCAAATAAGTGTTTTAAACACTTGGTTTTTACTTTGGAGAACTTTGTATTTTTCGGTCGGGTTTCAGTGCC